GCTTGTTGAAATGTGAATAAGTTAACACACACAACACAAACATATTTTAATGCACAGTTACTGTTTGTTTGCTGAATTTAACATATTCTGAAAAAATAAGGCATAAAATGTGGCCTGTGCAAAAGTTAAAGCACATTTTATATTGGGTTTTATTTTTTCCAATATTGTAGACAAGCAAATAAATAAGAATAGTGTATTAAAATCTGCAGAAAAACGTCATATTTAAGTTGTTTTTCCCTGCAGATGATATGGTAACTTATTTTCACTTAGGAAATCAATATATGACTGTATTTATAGGAGTTATTGTAAAGTTATAAGATTTTTAAAAACATATCTAATTGTATTTCATTCCATTTATTAATTAGTGTAGCATTCTTACATATCAAATAATCTGATAGAGGAGGACCCCAAGTAGAACATTGCTTAAGGCCCCCAAATGTTCAGAAGCTGCCTCAATTTTAAGAAAATTTTCAGTCAGCCATATTCATTTTTAGTATCTAGAAACATATTTAACAGAAAATCACCCAGAAGCTTTTACATCTGAATACGATTTCAATGTCTTTCAGTATTTAGTGGGTCCACCCTTTGCTTTTATTACAGCTTCGAGGAGACTCACTTCCACACCTCCAAAGTTCAGTCTGAGAAGTTGGTTGCACATTCTGCTTCACATGATCCAAATAGTCTCAAGCACATTCAGTGATGTTGAGGTTTGATCAACAAAATGGGCCTCAAGCAAATATATAGTGCTTTAACTGAATCATCAGACTAAATAAATCCCCAGTAAAAATAATAAAACTACACATATAATCTTTATTATTACAGATTCTGTTTCCATAATAGCTATTAAAAGGGATCTTATTCCATAGGTGAGGTTAGCCACGTAATTCATACGGTAGAAGAACTGTTCCCAACTTGAACTTTTCGAAAACCAAGTTAGAAGAGCCTGCCAAAACCACATAGACGCATTCCCTTGCGTATACACACGCGCTCTTCTCTTCGTCAGCTAAAGAGAGAAATAATGAGAAGTTTGGTCGTGAAGGAGCTGAACGCAAGTTCTTTCCTCAGCACAGAGTCAGTGTGTGTTGTGGCCAGGCAGGTTAGAAGAGAGCTTGTGTATGTGTGTGTGGCTTCCTATATGACTCACCCCGTTTCCATGCATGTTGGTACACGTAGGAGTTAGAGTGTGTGTGTGTGTCTGTGTGTGTGTGTGTGTGTGTGTGTGTGTGTGTGTGTGTGTGTGTAAGGTCAGAGCTGTAAATAGCACCTCGAGGAAATGGAGTCGAGTTATTTTTCCGCTCGCAGAAATAGTGTGGGCGTAAGACAAAAAGAAAAAAAAATACAGAAAAAAAGAGAATATTTTCAGACTGGATCATTTCAGGAATTCATGCAAATCGTTTAATTATGTTATATATGTACGCACTGCTTACTTTGATCAGTCAATTTGGTTAAATATTGGGAGAAAAATAAAACATAAAATGAGGCCTGTGCAAAAGTTAAGGCACATTTTATATTGGGTTTTATTTTTTCCAATATTTTAAACAAGCAAATAAATAAGAATAATGCACTACAATCTGCAGAAAAAAATATTTTACTTTATATTTTTGGTTTTATTTGTGTTCATTTAATCTTTAAAAATATTTATTTTATATTTTTGTTATAGTTACAAATATGGTTAACTATTTATTTATTTATTTATTTAAATGTATATGTTTATTTCTATAGCTGTGTACCAGAAAATGTAAAACGGGGTTGTCATGGTTACTCGATTAATCAATTTGGGTTAAAAAAAAATGGGAAATTGACAGTTGCGTGCAAAAGTTTGGACACCCCAATCAACTTACGTTTTGTTGATTTTCCAAGTGAAAATAAATTAACACGCACATTTCAATGCATGATTACTGTTTATTTGCTAAAAAAAAAAACGAACAAAACATGATATGCGGCCTGTGCAAAAGTTACGGCACATTTTACATTTTGTGTTTTATTTTATTCCCAATATGTGAAACTCAGCAAATTACCAGAAACTTATATACTAAGTTCCTTGTAGAGAATGAGTTAACTTACATGCTAAAACGTCACTTGACCGGGGGGGTGTTCAAACATTCGCACACAACTGTACCTGCAGTGATTACTTGGTCGTTCGCATGATGGCACATGATAATGCCCATTTTAACTGGGAAGCCAAAATTTCCGCATAATTCATTTGCTGAGATGAAGCCATTCAGAGTGGTTTGATGTGAAATGATTAATTGTAAAGAAATCCACCTCGGATTTCTTCACATTGGTGGTGATAGAAACCAGACATCATTATCAAATATAACCATTTTACTTACTATCCTAAATGACCAGTGAACCTACATGCGTCTTCTGAGTTTTTATATGTAGTATTGCCAATCATGAAATAGTCATATATCTGAACTTAAGTCTGAATTTATGCCAAAACTTTAACTAATAAAACTATCAAAGTTTTATAAAACAATGTCTCAGGCATGAGGCAACGTATTTGTAACCACTCCTTGTAACAACTTTTTGTGAGGCAGCTTTTAGAGGCGTTAAAGTCCTCAGACGTCTGGTTCCCATCACCACCACTGTGAATTATTCTGACTCTAATTTCTCCAGAACAGAGCATTTCACGTCAAAGCACTCTGAACGACTTTGTTTACATCTAAATGAGTTTATGCAAAAATGCTGGAAAAGCAGTGGAATTTCCCTTTAAAGTAAGGCTGACATGATTACTCGATTAAAAAGCACAAAAATGCCCTCTCAATTAATCGGCAGTGATTAGTTAGTGTTTTTTTCTTCGTCCGGGACATTAATAAGGCTATATATGTTTTGACAATGCTCAGCGAAATCCATTTTAATTGTTTGGCCTTTGATTACTCAATTATTCGCCAAAATACTTGCTAGATTACTCAATTAATCAAAAAATAATCAGCAGATGACTCGATTAATCGACAAATAATCACTAGCTCACTCAATTAATCGACAAAAATAATCACTGGATTACTCGATTAAACACTATCGCTAGGGACTCTATTAATAGTTGAAAATAATTGCTAGATTACTTGATTAATCTGCAAAAACAAGTGCGAGATTACTCGATTAGTTGACAAAAAATAATCGTCAGACTACTCCATCCACATGACTTCATATATCTATTTAAAACTTCGTTTGTCCTCAAACTGTGTGATGTGTGGACTACATGAGATGGTGTGTGCATGCAACGTGTGAAGAGTTTAACATTGTGGGTGTGTGTGGTGTGTGAGGGGGAGATTGTTCTATTGCCCTGTGAAAGCCAAATGGCCCTTCAAGGTGACAGGAAATAGACCAAGAATCCACACAAAAGGCTTTTACTGTGACAAAAGGTGCATTCCTGCAGGGAGAGAAAACACACACACACACACACACACACACACACACACACACAACAGCTCCATTTGGGTAAGTGGCTTTTCGCGCCCGTTGTCTGCTGAGCCACTAAAGCAATCTTGTTGTAAAATAAAAATTCCTCACATAAATCAGAAAAGCTCAGCAAATCTGCAGCACAAAGTGGCTGTTAAATGTCTGGTAAGGATCGCTCTACTTCCTCAATCAACAATGTGTAGCTTTGAAACTGCACAGTTTACCTTAAAACAAAGACAAAGAAGCACCAGTTTGTTCATTCAAGGCCAAAACAAGCCAAGTTCCCAAATCTGACCATGCTAATCTTACTATACAAGCTTATTCTTGCTCTGTGTTAGCAATGCTAAAAACAGACTATAAGTTTTTCAAGTTTTGAAGACGTAATATGGCAAAAATTCGCATTTACTCAGTTTTCCTCTCCCTAACATTGTAGTGGATCAGCCAAAACATGTCTAGTGTCTGAAGTTTGCTTTACTTTTGTGCTGGAGCTACGAGGCTAAAGTAGCTAACATATAATGAATACGGTATGAATTAGCACCACGCAAACTACATGCCTACTTGCCTCAAAACACAACGAGCTGTTAAGTATCTCAAATAAACTTGCTTATGTGATTTTCTAACACTGTGGACAAAAAAAACAGAACTATTTAGTCTGTTCTTTTGTCTTTTTTAGGCATGTGGTTTGCTAGGCTTCCATTACATTAGCTAGATTAGCCTCACAGAGCAAAACTAAGGATGTAAACTTTAAACCTTGGCTGATCACTAAGTTTGGACAGAATGTGAATGAACTATTCCTTGCTAGCTTGTGTAACCTAAGAAACACGAGAAAACAGATCTCAAGATGTTTAAATGCTACAGACTCAAAAAAATACACACATTCTCCACCCCAGCTACAAGCTAATGTATCACTATGGCCTGAATCCCACAACAGCAGTGGTGTAGACACTCGTAGCAACACGAGAGTGAATGAGCTTAAGAAGAAAAACAGAAAAACAACCTCGGAACATTTCCACTCTGCACACACTAAGATTGTAGTTTTAGTTCTTTTTTTTCTACTTTGATTCATGCTCAGTTAAGAAATAGCCGTGCCAAAAACAACCATGGCTTCCTACAACTGCCTTTTCCAGCGAGATCAGAAGGAGGGAGAGGGAGCGAGGGAGTAGGAGAGAGAGACTCCGGGTCAAAGCCCGTAGCAGCAGGAACTAAGCAATAAAAAGCCTGAAGTGATAACACTTTATGATCATTACACAGGTGGCCGAGAAGAGATGGCCCCAATCTCCCTCACGCACACCTCTCAGTACAGAGAGAAAGGGAGAGAGAGAGAGAGAGAGAGAGAGAGAGAGAGAGAGAGAGAGAGAGAGCGCAAACAGCCACGACTAAAGAAGCGAGAGATCGAGATAGAGAGGGAGAGAGATACACTGAGGACGGTTGACTTGTTGAATCTTCTCCCTACATTCACCACAGCTTCTATTTTCAATCCACAAACTCACTAAAGCCACATTTTCCAACCCGCCAACACACAACCACACGCACACGCACCACTCTTTTCCGAGAGACATATATATGTACATATATAAAAAAAGACACAAGCCGGTATGTATTTTTCGTTAATTAATATATTTCTGCAGTAAAGTTAACATAGCATTTTCTTTCGTGTCACCCTTTCATTTTTTCAGTATTGATATTTTGTTATATTCAGACATGAGTAAATCTAAGACTGTCTTTTTGCAATAAATATCATAAAATAATAGAGCTTCACTTAATAAATATTTTTTTTACAATGACAAAAAAAAGTTTTAACAGACATTTTCTTTCTTTTGTTTTTTTCTTAAAAAATAGCCGGAATTTTCTCTTATGAATTTGAACATACAATTTACAAAAATATGAGGGAGGAAAAGAAAAAAAAAAACAAAACAAAACAAAAACAAGTCAGAATGCCACGGAGTGTTTGAGTAAGTGTTTGGGTGGCGAAGGAACGACATCTGTCCGGAATTGTGTCCGGAATGTCCGTTTCTGTTCAGGAATAGCGTCGGGAATACTATGAGAGGGAGGGTCGTTTCCGTGGAAACGTGTGCGGCCACAGGGACCCATTTACCGCAACCCTCGTCAAACAATACCAGGTTGCTATGGAGATCTGGTAACAGCTACATATTATGGTCTGGCTAGACAGTCCTTCACAGATTCGGTAGGAGGCCATTGCTCGTTCTCTCGGCAAACCTGCAGCACCAGTCAGCTTTCTTGCTCCCCCCCCCACACACTTTTTTAACGTTAGCGAGTAGCTGGACAGTCCCACAGTCAGTTAAGGCAAACACTGGTTTGTTAAATAAAGAAAAACTAAATAAAACAAAACAAATTCTGCTCAGCGTCAGAAGTGACAACAAAGTGGTTTTGATTTTCCATTCTCCATTCTCCTAGCAGCAGACCAGGCAAGGAAGAGGGGATTGTTTTATAGAAGAGTTTTGATGGTGAAGTCACCTCCATCATCATCATGGTCCATCCTCTTCCTCCCAGATCAGGGTGGGCGGGGCTACAGTGGGCACCTGCACTGGACTAACCAAAAAATCAGCCCTTAATCAGTTCCTCTGCATGTTTTCCTGTGGATCTGGACACTGGGCCGGGCCTCAGGAGGGCTTGCCCTGTCCCAGTCCGTGACCTTGTCCTTGACCCCAGCCCTGCAGCTTGCAGTAGACGGTGTTGGAGTTTTTGCAGCGGCACCCTGGCCTGTTTATGCGGTCATGGAGGTGCTGGCAAGCCTTCACGCAGGCCTTGGCTGGAGGGTAGCAGAGCAGGCAGGGGAAGAGGGGCGCCATGAGGCCCATGCAGAGGAAACGGGGCAGGCAGCGGGGGCGCGACAGCGAGCACGGTCGGTCCGCGCACGAATCACCGTCATCATCATCGTTGGAGCAGTGGTAGAAGAGGCCCTTGACCAGGCACATGCATGTGCCATGTTCTACGAGGCTCTCGGCTGAGCAAAGGCACTGACCGTTGCAGGCTAGGCACGAGGGCAGCATGCGGGGCGCCGTGCATTCACTGCATTTGCACTTCCCACAACGTTCGCAGATGAACTGGTGTGGAGACGAGGGCGAAAGGTCGCCCTTTCCGGCCAGAGGTGGCCCGAAGCCCACTGGCTGCTTCAACAGGGCATCCACTGGTAGAAGTGGCTGCATGGGCGAGCTCAGGGATTTGGGCTGAGTCCGAACGGCCTGTTCCGGCCTGTTATTATGATGGTGGTGGTGGTGATGACGGTGGTGTTGGTGGCGTGACGGTGGTGACTGGGCCAGCAAGCCCTGCTCTGAAGAAGCACTCCCGCTGCTGCCAGAACTCCCAGCGCTGCCCATGCTGGTCGAGCGGCTGAGGGCGGGTGGCCTGGTGGCCGTAGGCCGCGCCTCATAGTTGTTGTTCACATTGACGAGGATGACCTCGTGAGTCCTCTCGTGCTTGTCATTGAGGCGAGGTGCCGGGGCAGGAGGCCGACGCGCTGCCACGGCGGGACCTTCCGTGTACTCGTTGGACGAGCGGATGGCTCGGATCTGCTCCAAAGACAGGATGGCTCCGGCCGGGAGGTCCAGGTCCAGCCGCTCTCCGCCCGGCTCCCGGATCACCGCCACTGACCCGGTGGCTCCGCGGTGACCGCGACGATCCATCTGACCCGATCAGCGACTCCCTGCGCAGGCACGGACTCTAGTCTCATCTGACGACCTGATAGAGGAAGGGAGAGAGAGTTGGAAGTGGGATTTAGTGAAAAGCCAAAGCTTATGTGGGCAAATACTTACAGAGATACACATTACATTTTAGTCTCACAGTAGTTACTGAATAATTCACAGTAGTTACTGAATAATAAGAAAGAACATAAACAGCCGAATAATAAGCCTAGAGTGACTGTAATACCTGCATAAAAACCACACAAATCTTACAAAGATCAAAGTCTCAGACACAGTTGGCCCATTAAGACCTAGTCTGTGACTCAAATGGATGACTTCCTACAGTCATTCACAACGTCTCCTCGTGCCCATTCACCAGCACAGCCACTTCCGAACGCCTACGTGCACCACCACTAAAGTCTGTCTGCTTTAAAAAGTTTGAATTGCATGGTGTGAGCTGCATGCGCGAAGGTAATGTTCACAGCGCAGTGGGTAAACGCTGTTTTTTGCAATCTGAGTATCCTGCTGCCAAAAAATTGGACCAAATCAACCAGAATAAACAGAACAATTGCACCATTACAAAATACAATAACTAGCAGAACATGCTTGCAAATGATTAACTTGCTTAGTAATGCGTTCAAACTAACTACACCGAACTGAATTCCTAACCTGTGCAGGAAATTCATCTTAACAGCGCATAAACAAGGGACTAAATAATGGAAAATGTTTTGTCTAGAACATTAGTGCCGTTTATGTCAAATTAGGAATTAATAATTGACTCTTAACTTTGTATAAACAAAGCAAAACAAGGCGCTAAACTGTCCTCAAATTAGTGACAAAATCAAGAAAAGGTATAACATCAATGTATCTTCGTGTTCACGTCTGTTTTTTTCCCTAAAAAACATGTTTTTGCAAATTTCCCATTCACATTCATTGACATCACTGAAAGCTCCCCCTACTGGAGCCCCTAAGTCACTGCAGGCCGAGGACGAGCCCAAGAGGAAGAGAAGGAGGGGGAGCAACTTATGAATGAAAACAAGCCTTGTGGGGGGAGGGGTATTTGGTAGTTACCGCGCGAGGAGGGGTAGGAGAGAGAGGGAAGAGGAGGGGGGGTAACAGAACTCTGGCAGTCAACCTACCCCCGAGCCTGCATGCACTCGAGCGCAAACACACACACACGCACGCACACACACACACACACACACACACACACACACACTCTCTCTCTCTCTCTCCCCTCTGCTTTGGGGCCAAGCAGTGCAAAATAAACGCGTTGCGCTCCGAAAAACTCACGTTTACAGACGAGGTTAAAGTTGGCTTTCTGTTCACCAGCTTCTTGTCCGAATTTTCCCGTTCCACCTTAAATGGTGCAGCAGTCACACCAGCAGTTGAGGCGCCAGAATGTAACTGCTGCACCATTTTAAGGTGGAACGAGTAAATTCGAACAAGAAGCTGGCGAATAAGAACCCGACTTCAGCTTCGTCGTTTAAAGAACTTTTACGTTTTTTTGCACGCGCGAGCTTCCGAAATTCCGCGCGCACAGCTACGCTGCTCGCGCTGCAACTAACGCAACAGCCCCAAACGTACATAAAACTGCACGCGCGTGCACGCGAAGTGTAAATGTAAAAGAAGTTTGGAACTGAAGGGTGTTTTTTGGTCACTACGCACCTATATGCGCTCATCCACAGCTCTGACTCCATCAGCCAGTGCTGCTCTCGTCCATCCAAAATGCTCAAAAAACTCTCACGATTCTCGCTGTACATCCATATAAGACGGGATACTCCAAGCCGTTGATCTGATCCCAGGAAAAATACGTTAAATCCACGTTGGAGGTGAAAATGATAGCATTAAAATAGTATTAATGATAATAACAATAATAAAGCCCTTTAGTGCGGGCTGTAGAGCTGGGAGGAGATTCCGATTTAGTCCGTGGACGATGAAGCATTCAGGTTTAAAAAATGACCAAATAAAGAAACCAAAAAAAATCAAATTAAAAAAAAATAAACAAAAATCCTCTCCGTCCGTCTTCAGTCTCGCGCACGGTCTGGTCTGAACGTCACACGTACATCCGGGTACATTTGATCATTTTATAAGTCCGCTTCGATTTCGGATTTTTTTTCCACCCCAAAAAAAGTTTCTGCTTCTTGTTTTTGTGTTTTCGTTTTCGTTGTTTTCCCTTTTTCTCCGTCGTGTGAAAGACTGCTGCTGTGCTAAAGCAGAGCTGCTCTCTCTCTCCGTGTCCTCTCTCTCTCTCTCTCTCTCTAGCTCTCTCTCCGCTCGGCGTTAATGAATGGGAGCGCAGCTCCGCCTCGGCGCTGTGAAACCGGACACGGCGCATCCGCTCTGCGGCGATTGGACAGCGAGCACGGGCGGGGCGAGGGAGGGGCGGGGTTTAAGGTGGACCGGAGGAAAAGCGCAGCACAGCGAAGGGCAGTTTCTGATCAGAGACCTGATCGATACTGATCGTTCCTATTGATCTATACGGAAATACTGACCACTGTTGATCATCACCACTAATTATCAGCATGTTGACCTCTACTGACTATTATTCCCGGACGTATGATGAGTACTGTTAGTGATCATTACTGTCACTAGTAAACGTTACTGATCAGTACTATCACTATTATTGCCAATCACAACTAAAACTACTCCATACTAATATCTGCTATTGCTATTGATCACAACTAAACCACTACAACCTCTCACTACTGACCGTTACTGGGCACTACTGAACCACTACCGCTGCTGATCTCTGTGATTACTGATCTATGCCTACTGATCCCTGTCGTTCACTATTGCTGATCAATACTGAGCTACTATCATCGCGAAACTGCTATCATTAATGGTCACTACTCACTCAATGGTCACATTACCAGTCGTCAGGGGGAGCCGCGGCTGTGCTGACCGAAGCGGTGGGATTAAAGCTGCAGGTGCGTCTCCACCTTAAAGAGCGCGAGGAGCCCAGTGCCCCCGAATCTGACCGCGCGGATGCGCCACATCCGGCTCCAGCAGAAAAAGGGGAAGTTCAGCACAGAGTCAGGAGGGGCGGGGAGGGGGGAGGGGGAGGGGGGAGGGGGGAGGGGGAGGGGACGGGGGGCTGGAAGAATCAGGACGGGGCTTTATTTTTACTTTATATAAAAATATGCTGTCACACTGTACATACATACGTATGTATGCGTGAGTAGAATTTATTTAACATAATATTATATAAAATTTTGCATTGGAAATATCTATAGAAGAGAAGATATAGGTTGGCAAGTGTGGGCACATTTGAGAAATCTCAATCCTGTTATGATGTGTTATGACAAATACCTTTTATTACCTTTATTATTCTTTTTAGTGGAGACTATATATATATATATATATATGTATGAGCCTGAAGCCTGATTATTAGCATAAGGAAGGTCGTTGTTGGGCAGATAGATTATAAAGCCCCGCTGCTTTGGTTTGTGGAGCCATGGAACCGAGTTCTCTGGAGTGATGGAGCTCCACCCAATACCTTTGGAATCAGCTGGAGTGATTCAGAACTGAACAGCCAACATCAGTACCTGACCTCACTAAAGCTCTTGTGGCTGAGCGCAGTCAAATCCTCACAGCAATGTACCAACAACTAGTGTAGTCTTCCCAGAAGAGTAGAGGCTGTTACTGCTGCAAAGGGGGACATATTCTCTAATAATACCCCTGATTTCTGAAGAAATGTTGAATGAGCATGTTGGGTGAGTGTCTATACACTTTTGGACATAGTTGGTTTCCCAAGCAGGGATTACGTCTAGGACCATATTTATCTTTGAGTGAAGAACTCATAATGCTGTGTTGTCTAGGACTAAGCTTAATCCCTGTCTGGGGAACTGATCCATTGTATAGAAACAGGATGTTTTAATATATTTACATATACTGTAAGTGTTGAACAAAAACCTTGTATCTACAAAAGGTTAACATTACAGAAGAAAAGGACAGAAAATGACAAAAATGGAGATAGAAGATTGTTCTCACAGCGACAGTATGTTAACACAAACACAGATATCCATGTATCTCTTCATTAGAGCATATATAATTATGGCAGCTTAAAGTTTAACCGATTTCTTTTATTGCTTTGCCTTTTAAGTATATTTAAGCAGTATATTTAAGCCCTAAAGCTTAATTTCGCTTTGTGCGTCTCCCAGGATCAGTCTACAATAAATTAATAAAGCTGAAAAGTGCATGGCTATAAAACTCCCAATTTGTGATCAAATAAAACTTTTTATGGACCCCGTAATTCATTCGAGACCGGATGACTTTTGCAGGTCCAAGATCCATTTCCTCCAAGTAAATAATTTAACAACAATGCGGGACGGGAGGGGGAGGGAACAAGCGTTTATTTAATTTGCTGATGTGAAACGCTGATACAGAGAACACAGATAAAAAAAGAAGCTACAGGTCCTTCAGGTCAGATTCGGCAGTGTCCAGTTGCCCCTATTAGGATGTGCTGGGGCAAATGAGGGGTGACCCCCACCCCTCCAACACCCCTCATCAGGAAAAAGGCCTGATCCCATGCTGCTGCTGATAGGCAATGTAGGACTGGATGAGGGATTCTGGAACACGTGGTTTTACTGCAGCCAGGGCAGCATCAAAGTGCCGGACAGTGATGTGCTCTGCTTTAATGTCCTCCTGAAGGGCACACAGCGCGGCCTCTCGGCATACTGCAGTGATCTGTCAGATGGAGACAGAGGGGAGGAGAGGAAGAAAGAAAAAGAGAGAAAAAAAAGAGATGAGTAAGAAAAATGTATGTGTTTTTTTTACATAATGGTTACACAATTGGTTTTGAGACCCGGGTTGAGACTGGGCCACATTTGATTATATAATTAGTATTTATTACAGGGTAATTCAGCAACTATAGCACAGAACTCCACTGTAGACAGTCAGATACACATGGATACATATAATTTTCAAGCCATCTTAAATTATTTGACTAACTTGTTAACTCTTGCAGTTTACAAGGTCAATATGGTCATGCCAGTAAAGCCACTAAAATGGTGATGAAGGTCCCATCATCACCACTGAAACCTGGAGAACCACACACACCAGCAGCTGCCAAGCACAACAGTACATTCAGAGACACAAGGACACTCAGGCACCCAGGAACTAAAGCTCCTGAACATCTGAAACTGAAGCACCTAGACACACAAATGGACATTCAGATACTCAGGTAGCTGGACAAGAGCACCTGAAAATAAAGATAGACACTTAAAAAACAGAGCCAGACACATGCCTGGACACTCAGACACTTAGATGTATGGACATTTGGGTACCTGGACACTTGGGTTCCAGCACACTCAAGCCCCTGAATCTCAGATTCAGGGACACTAACGTACCCTCACTCTTGGACACACTGATACTTAAATACCTGGATACTTTGGCAGCCAGTCACACAGGTACACAGGCACCCAGATATGCGGATGCTTGGGATCCTGGAAGCTCGGGTTCCTGTATGCTTGAGTTTTCAGACACTTGTGTTGCTGGATGCTTGGGTTCTCGGACACTCGGGCACCCTGATACTCAGGTTCCCAGACACTCGGGCACTCATGATCCCCGACACGTGAATACTCGGGCACATGGACACTCAAGTTCCCAGATCTTCAGCTTCTTGGATGCTTGGGTGCCTGGACACTCCGGCAACCCAACACTCAGATTCCCAGACACTCTGCGACTCAAGTACCCTCACACTCAGGCACTACTGGGCACTCTGACACACTGGTACCCAGATACTTAGGCACACGGACACACTGGTACCTGGTAAATCAGGCACCCAGAAACTCAGGTACTGACTACTCTGGTACTCAGACACTCAGGTACCCAAACTCTCAGGCACATGGGATCCCAGACAGTTGGAGACCTAAACACTTGGGCAACCAGGCTTTCAGGCACTGGGGCCTCTGAACACTCCAGTAACTAGACACTTGGGCACCTGGACTCCAGGGTAGGAAATAATGATTTTGAAGGATAATTTAGCCTTCGGTCACCGAATATACAACGGCAAACACGTTGCAAAATATTCAGTGCAACATTTTAACTTCATCAGAATAACCCAGTCACTACATTTATAACATTATTTTGTGGGCAATGTTTTAGCCTACTTGTGTTTTAAAGAGCAGAAATGTTGAATATGGGGGCATTTTTGCTCCATGGCCAGGTTGTTTTAGATGCTGCCAGACACTCAGGCACCCTGGCACTAAGGCACTCAGACACAGGGGCATAATCCTTCATCCAGTACACCCTCTTGATCCTCCAACCTGCTGGGCCTGTTCTGAGATCAGATTTCAATCCTGTTTATGCTCAGCGTAAAAGGTGATTCAAGGTTTGCACAATTACCCTCAGCTGTTTTATGAATACACTAAATTTGACAGTGATTTGCTTTGGATAAATGTGTCAGCTATATGACTAACCAGATCAGAACATGCCGCCATATTTCAGTGATCAGCACTCGGATGCAGTGGCATGGCACAATGCCCTGACCACAAATTAGCACACCCTTTAGTTTTTTTTTAAAGGTAAATACACCCACCTCACTGCAGAGTGCAAAAATTATTTCTAGTAATTACAGGTAACTATTTTTATCCCACAAAACCAAACCAACTCTTTAGATGAGAGCTGTGTGGGAAAGTGCCCTCGGGATAAGTCTCTTTTTAGATAGAAGATCCAAAAAACAACCTAGCTGAAAAAGATCCAAGGAATGTATTAGGCATTTATTATTAAATCACGGACTTATTTTAATCCCAAAGACAGTGATAGCACTAATTTTTGACTGTAGAACGCACATATTGTAAATGTAGTAGAGTGCTGTCGCATGCACTTATTTTATACCTATAGCCTTTGCTATGGATTTAAACCTAGCTCAATGAGCTTTCGAATAATGTGCTTATATATCATCACTGTCCAAAGAAAAACAAGTATCTCCAAAAATAGTAACTTTACAGGAGAAGGCAAAACCCTCTTACCTTTACATGTAAGTTAATGTGAAGAGATTTTATTTCAAGTGATTTTAGAGCATTTCTATTGGTCCGTTCATCATAAAATTTTCACAGAACATAAAGGACACCTGGTATGTTGAAATTATGCAGAAAAATAAAAATCTACAAAAATGGAGATGCATGGTTTTCTTTAGACAGCGACGATATATATATATATATATATAACCTCGTATCTCCAAAATGATATCTTTACAGGAGAAGGAATAAACCTACTTTACTTTTAATGTAAGTCAATGGAACCAGACTTTTTTGGTCCATTCATCATGAAATTTACACACAATGTAAAGGACAACAGGCATTTTCAAATTATGATTATATATATATATATATAAAGGGATAAATATATATAAAGGGATTTATACACCCGAAAACTGTGGAATGCATTTATTTGTGCTTGGCATGCACAGGTTCAGTTTCTCCTAACTTGCTTTCTCTTCTTTCACTCACTTTTTCTCTCTGTGTCACACAAGAGATGGATCGCTTCCTTTGGACCAGTGAGACCCGAGTGATTATGCAAGCCAGAGAGAGAGAGAGAGACAGAGAGAGAGAGAGAGAGAGAGAGAGAATGGGTAGTGAGGATGCCTGGAGTTCATCAATGTTTTCTCTCTCTCCCTCGCTCCACTCATTTTCGGATGTGACTCATGCCCGAGGCTTGTTCTGCGTGTGTGTGTATGTGCGGAGTGTTCCCTGAGGTCAAAGCCAGCACGGCAGGCCTGTGATTGCGTAATCATGGGAGAATTATAAAGAGAGAGAGAGCAAATGTGTGTGCGCTGCCATGTTTCTAGGAAATGAAATGGAATGCAGCCTTCGCTCTGCAGGCCATTTAACAGAGTGCTGGTGCAGGAGCAGGTAGTTCTGATAGCGAGTGAAGCCGGCGATCCGACCAAAATGCACCTCACTATAAAACCAGAAATCAATATCACTGTATACAAAAAACAGGATGAATACATGATCACACATGATGATTGATGATGACACACCAACAGTTAACATAAGCTCAGTTCATTTTGTGCTTGACTAGCAGAATACAGTCACATGAAAACACTCCTGGTCAAATGAGACGCTTTGCTGATTTAAGTTAACACGTCCTCTACAGGGAACAAACTTCAGTATGGCATTTAGTGCACAAAAAATTATTTGCTGAGTTTAATATATTGGAAAAAAGTAAGACAATACAATATTGCATATATGCATAAATGTGCCATAATGTTTGCACAGGCCACATTTTCTGTTTGTTTTTCTCCCCAATGTTCTGCATGAAGATGTGCAGATGTTAACTGTGTTAAATTATTTTCATGTAGAAAATTAACATTAACATAAACATAAAATTTGACCAGAGGTGCTAAAACTTTTGCATACGTATATTGTTACTGCCCCCTCCAAAAAAAGTATCTTCAATAAGGCAACTTTTACAGAAGGAGGCAAAACATTCTTAATGCTTCATCTAAGTTAATGCATAGAAATTTTCTGTTTTATATTTTTATGACGTCATTTAGGAGACTTTTATTGGTCCATTCTTCATAAGATTTTCACACAATAAAAAGGACAGCTGCTGTGTTCAAATGATGTAGAAAATCAAAAATTGCAAAACATTTTTTTTTCTTTATGTGCATTTTGTGTTTAGCAAAAATAGCGGAAATACCATTAAAAAATTGGGAATAACTGTTTTTTTCATTACTATAAAACCTAATTTTGTTGTAGGTACAAGATTCTCTTATGAGGCAACTACTCCACAACTTCACAGGTTTCCACTGATTAGTAGGAGGCTGTAAAAATATCTAAACATTTTTATAAGTATGCACAATCATAAACAGAGCTGCATATGATGTCACAATAATTGAGAAACAGAATCAGCACTGAGAAGCTGTACCAACATTACTATCCAGGACATCTCACACTTGAAGTGCTGATCAAATCTCAAGACAGATAACTTATCAAGAAGTTCTTCTCAAGAAGAGTTCATGTTCCCAAAAAACTTGAAATATTGAACAAAACACCTTTTTAAATACCTCCTGGTCCCTGGGTTTTAGTATGCAATCTACACTGTACAAGTTATTATTGAACTGAATATGACAGGTGACAAACTCTTGAATGTTACTGTATAAAGTAGAACAGGGGAGTTCATTTGAAGCATTTCAATGTTTGTTCATGTAAAATATATAACATAATATTTTGTTCATCTGGTCTATTAATTTTGCTTTGCGCTGTTTCATTTACAGTATTTAACTGAGTTGAATAAAACCAATTAAATTGCTTGTTACCAAACTGAAGTGATAGAAGCTGAACTGGTAAACCATTCTTTTTTACAGAGATGTCTGAATATTAAAACTACATATACTAGGACTCTTAATACTGTAGCATGTAGTGCTTGACCGGGTGGGGAGTCGAACCCCAGTGTGCTGAAAAGACAATGTATTTTCTCCTAAAAAAGCCTAATTAGGCTAATTCAGTTACTTTTACTTCAGTTTTCTTTTTGAATAGTTTTTGTCTTAAAGTGCTGAGTTAATTAAACCGAAATAGCCTAATGACGAACGCATATTCAAAAACATGCATCTCTGTGCCAAACACCTCATTCACTTCATTTGTTGAGATGTAAACAAAGTCATTCATAGTGGTTTGATGTAAAATCTTTCATTGTAGAGAAACTTAATGTCTCAGATTTCTTTACAGTGGTGGTGATAG